AATTGAAAAAGAAAGACAAATAACAAAACGAATGAAAATAGAACATCAAGTATCTTCATCATCAATCAATAATCTTGCAAAATTAATATCAGACCATGATGATTTTTTTAATATAATTATAAAAAATGTTCAGTCGTTGGATATTAACAAAGAACTAAATGATAATGTTTGTTTATATGATAATGTTTATTTAAATGAAAGTACAATAAAAATCATTCGAGATTATCACAATAAGGTTTCATTCATGCTGAAGATAAACGAATCGGACTTGCAAGTGGCATTGAATACATTAATATTAGATTTATTAAATTCATTTAATGATTGTACATTATTGAAATATGTCGATACACATAAGTTCAAGTGTATCAATGAAAAATTTCGTCCTGATTGTTGTTTTTTATATAAAAATGTTAATATCAATATTAATACAGGAGGTGAATTTCTACAAGATTTTATGGTTTGTGTTGGTGAATTTAAGAAATCTAATAATTCGCCAACAGGATCAAGTGGACAAATACTTCCGTATTTACATTTATTGTTAGATGTACAAAAAAATCGTAACAAGATTTATGGTTTTTTCGTTAATAATGAACAAATAACATTTGTCTGTGTTAAAAAAGGATCTGAATCGGATTCATATGATTATTATCAAAGTCAAAATTTATATTTGTTTGGTAGTTATTCTAAAGAATCTGTTGATATGAACATAACAGATGAAGAATGGAAAAATAAATATTTAAATGAAGTTACCTGGAGTATATTTATAAACTTTTTAACAATGAATGAAAAATTTTATGAATATACAACATTAAATATAGATCCTTATGATAATTTTCTTGTTAATGAATATGATATAAAAAGTAAATTGGGAAATGGTTTAACTTCAATGGTTTATTTATTAGTAAAAAATGCAAATAATTCTTTAAATGATATAAAACCATGTGTTATAAAAATATCTAAAGATATTTCATATGAAAAATATTTTCAAAATGAAGTTCAAAGAACATACGAATTAAAACAATTGAATGGTTTAGAAAAATTTAATTTATTTTTTCAAGATATTCTAAATTTTTCACCTAAAGGTAATATTTGTTTATTGATCTTTTTGTTAACATTTTCAACATGTTGAAAGATTATCGAAAAAAAGAAGACGATTGTTTTTATTATAAAATGAAGAAATAAGATTTAATCATATCTTAAATTTGTGAAATTCAAAATTCTTCAATAGAATTTTGTTTCAATGAACCGGCTTATAAAAATATTATTGATCAATATAGATAAATGAATAGAAAATTTTTTAATTTCAAGGAAAATACTTCGAGTGAAACAAATGTTTCTCATATTGATCAGATATTAAATAAGTTAGAAGAAAAATCAGTGTGAAATTCAATTTATTGATGATGAAAATTATTTTTCTTAGAATTTTATAGTTAAAAAAAGAAGTGAAATATTTTTTTTTATCAGAATTCTTATCATTATGAATAATTAAGAGAAATTTCATATTGTACAATAATTTTCATAACGATATCTGATATAAATATATTTTAATTGTATATTAATAGAAAATATTGAAATAACCAAAAATAAAAGTTCAAGATTGATTAAACAAAATATTGAACAATTCAGCATAGAAATCTTCGCAAAATATTGAGCAATAGTAAGACATTATCAAGTACAAACTGAATGAAAATGCCTTGATTTTATTTTTAATAAACTATCAAGCTGTTTGAATAAAAAAAATAATTACTTTTTTTTTTAATTAAAGTTTAATTTTTTGAAAATGATTTCTATATCGACTTTTTAGTAGATTTTTGTGATTGTTTTAAAGAATATAATTTATATATTCGAAAAAAGAAAGTCTATATTGAATTCTATTCAATCTCATATGTCAAAAGTGACATTTCTACCGTTGATTAATTCTTCGATAAGTTGTATCAGAAAAGAAACTTTCATCATCACATCTTCTCTATTTATTCCGAGAATGTCTATTGAGAAGATTATTTTTTCTTTTATGTTTCTCATATAATAGTAGAAGAGTTACTCTCGACTCGTCCCCAACTGGTCCCCAATTCGTCCCCAACTCGTCCCCTCCGCATTAATTGACTCTCAATTCGTCCCCCACAAAATTCGTACCCCGTTAATTGATTCTCAATTCGTCCCCCAATCCAATAGCTACTAATTGGTGGCTAATTTGATAAACAGACGATTTTCAACAATCAGTTGTTTTATTCAAGAGTAACAAAGAAACAAGAAAAAATTAAAAGAAACAAGAAAAAATTAAAAGAAACAAAAATCATTTGACAAGTTTTGTCTTCAAAGAGTGTCCGTATTGGATCGCGAGTTGCATGTCAGTGATCAATCCGCCCTTATGATCGTTAAGAAGGAGCTCGAGATTCTGGGGTGGGTGTGGGTGTGGTTGAAGACTAGAGCCATACCCATATCCTCATCAACACCCACACCCTACGAGCTTTAACGATTTCTTGTGTATAGATTTTGGGGATCGGCATAGTCTCCTCTCGTGCACGTTTTTTCATATTACCAACTGCTTTGTCGACTAGAGATTTGCCAACAGAAGCTGGTTGTTGAAAAGTATGAGTAGAGGGCTCGCGAAGACCTTTTGCATCGACTATGCAAAGAAAAAGCATGCTGGCACAACCACGATCTCGACAACGCCCCTCGTTGCTCGTCTTTCTCGCACGCTTCTTTGTGTATTGATGAGAATTGTAATTGAGTACAGGTTAACCACGCTCCGAAGATGTGAATAGCAGCTTTTCTCAGAGCAGAGATAATGTCAATAGGGAAACTAATACACTACTAAGAACACGCATCATATATATATACAGAGTGCTCTACGCAGCAAGCAATTTTCTGATTGATAACTATTATTCCTATATTTGTTTCTAATTGTTTCTGAACAGGGACGGGCTAGTTGAGGGGACGAATTGAGAATCAATCAACTAGGAACGAATTTTGTTGGGGACGAATTGAGAGTCAATTAAGGGGGGACCAGTTGGGATAATTGGCAAGGGGGACCAGTCGAGAGGATCCCTAGTAGAAGATTTCTTTGAAATTACGCTCAAATAATATAAATATCTTCACATAAAGATAAGTGATAAAAGTAAAAGTTTTTTGTTTTTTTTTTTTGTATATTTCTCATTTGTTGATATAATTAATCATTTTAT